CCGACGGACGTAGATGGTCAGAAAGATATGTGTCCTGATGTTTACTACATATTATTCTCCTCTCCCTGATGACATTGAGTAGATCTCTGGGACGTGGCCGAGGACCACAACAAACAAATACGAATACTTTGCACCTGTGTCTCTTTGTATAAGAGACTGGTCTTCAACCTTAACTTTACTTTTCCTTTCACTTAAATACGACGGCAGGGAGGAGGGGAGGTGTTACTTATGTTTTACTACGGTTTGCATGTCTAACCTACTTTTCTAGAATTTTATTTTATGACATAAATAATATTTGCAATCAGAATTGTAGACGTGACACATATGTGGGTAAGTTCTGGTAGAAAATTTTCAACTTGTTTGGGGTGTGTCGAGTTCATTTTCACTTTACAACGAATAAACTTTGATTGCCAAGTTATAAAGGAAAAACTAATATTGATGACTAACTAGCAATTTTTTTTTTATGGTAAACGTTGAATTGTATGCAAAATTTTTCGGATTATTTAGTGGCATTGAAGTACTATATAAAGAGCCAGTATTTCCAACAAATAGGCACTTGCCGGCTGACGGACACACTTACGTTACGGACGCCCGGCGTTCCGTAAGACCCCAGTCGTAAAAGAGGAGGGAAAGCCCACTCCTTCCAGGGTCACCAAGGATTCAATTTCCTCCAATTATATTTTCCCTTCAAACTTGGGAGGAAAGGAAGATCTGGATACTCTTACCTTGCCGTGATAATATGACGTCCGCTGGCGCATCATAAACACGTCGGATAGTGAAAGTGCATTTAAAGTACTCTCCTAAATCCTTTTTAATTCTCCTCTCCTTTATCCCTTAATCCCGTGACGTTTCACACAGAGGTCAAGGGATAGACGATAGGAGCGCTGAAATTCATTTCCGGGTCACTACCGGAGGATCGAGGATTCGAGGAGTCGAGGAGGGGAAATCAGTGAAATGAGAAGGGGCCCATGGCCCTTTTTAAAACGGGTTTTACAACTCAACAACAATGCAGCATCACATGATTTCACTTGCGCAACTCATGCTGCAGTGCTAACACACAGGGAAGTAAGGACCATAGCTGGATGTGTTTAAGGGAATTCTGCCTTAAAGCTGCTTTATTTTGTTCTTAACCCGGACAGCACGCCTCCTGTGAGGACCAACATGGCCCTGCTCGGATTTGGAAAGATACTGCTGCTACTTCTGCTTTTTGGACATTCAGTAAGTACTTCCTAAATCTTTTTATAGCCTGTGGTCGACATGTAAGAAGCTATACCTGCAGCCTCATCCCCATGACATTAAAACACATATTATACCAGTGTATAGGTCACCGAAATGCAAAACAAAGGATTGGAACGTGGCGTCAAATTCATATTTTTTAAGTACAAAGAAATACACGACATTCAAGAGATGTTAATGTGAGGAAACAATGTTTAGATTCCGCCAATGGTATGTTAACATCAGTTATGCTTTTAAAAATAGTTTTGAGTTATTGTCAGGTCAATACACAAATGTATTTCATCCAGAAGTCAAAATCTTCAATATGTAAATTCCTGTACAACATACAACTATATGGCTAAACAACTTTCCACATGACAACATTTTAAAAACATGTTGGTTTGTATAGACAGTTTTATTCTATTTAAGCATTGTTCAACACCTTTATTATACAGTCAAGGTTAGTATGTGTTACTGTAATGACACATCCTTAGTCAGCTGAGATGTCAGCCCTGCACCATAAAAACATGAATCTTTAACCAATAACCTCTTAATGGAACACAATATAAACTGAATTATGGGGATTAGTTGGGATTTAACTGATTTGTTGATCTGCAGCTCGGGGCACCTGGTTCATTCAGCGTGGATTACCAGAAGGACTGCTTCCGAAAAGATGGGGAAGAGTTTCGTTTTATATCAGGAAGCATCCATTACAGCCGGATCCCCAGAGTCTACTGGAAGGACCGACTGCTCAAGATGTACATGGCAGGACTGAATGCCATCCAGACGTACGTTTACCTGTTGTCTTGCTCTCATTATGCTTCACTCATTTGTTTTTTTCATTTTTAGGTTCAGCTTGTTGCTCTGATAACTTCCAGACATCCGTGACTAAAATCCTTCATCCGGTTAAATATAGTTAAAAAAAATACCAATTGTATAGCATTAAAGTTCAAGAAAGGATGGTTTGCGGGAAAAAAAACGGTCTTTTCTTCAATTCCTATATGTTTTTAATTTCGCAATATATATCGCAGGGGGGGAAAAAAATCGCAATGTCAGTTTTTTCCAATATCGTGCAGCCCTAGTTTTAACTATTGGCCTACAAAATGTGTCACATGAGAGACCTGTTGACATTGGTATTGCCTCTACAATCATTTGCATGTGATTGTGTTGCAGTCACTCAACAAAAATGTCAGCAGTCACATGCTGCAGTGTAGAGATATTTGGTAACAAGCTACAGGAAATTAATCTACACCAACTATGATCCATTCATAGTTTTAAATGATTTCCTAAAAATGGCATTTCATCTTACTGACATCACTCTTCCCAGTGTTTCATTTAGAAACAAATATCTGTACAGATAGGACATGTCTTTTTTTTGTGAAAAACCTGGTTCTATTTGTTTTATCCCAGCTTATATTGAGCTAGACTTTTTCACTTCACTCATTTCAAGATATTTAATTACACACATCATTACATTTATTGTATGTGTTTTTATGACTATCTGAGATAAAATCCTATATCGTGCCATCCCTTTATATAATGCAGGGTTGCAAAACAAAATAGGATTTGTAGTCCCTTGATGACATACACAAGAAAGACAAAACTGGCTTCAATAAAGATGAACAAACCTCATAAGGTTGCTGGTATTGACAGTAAAGTGGACAGAATAAAAGTGCCTGCACTGACAGTTGTCTTTAAATGTTTACCTTTTTCTTTTGACACTGCATCACTACACCTGATAGAAATGCTAAACTGAAAACTGAAACCCCTTATTGGTCGCATGGAATGTTATGTTATGTCGCATTCGATCAGGAGCAAGTATTTCACACTAGTGCAATTAATCAACTCACCTTACCAATTGTTCGTACAGTTCGATATGTTTGATCGTCATTTTTTATTTAACTTAACGTTATGTATTCTCTAACAAACAGTATTGATACACAATGGAACATCCTGGTCTCTTGCATATCATTTATTAGTCAGCCAACATACAATCTGCTTAAATAACTTGAGTGTATATGCTTTCATAATACTCATACTTCATTACCATTGAAGGTACATTCCCTGGAACTACCACGAGGAGTCTCCAGGCCAGTACAGTTTTAGTGGAGAGCGGGATATGGAGTATTTCCTTCAGCTGGCCCAAGATATTGGCTTAATGGTGATCCTTCGGCCTGGACCCTACATATGTGGAGAGTGGGACATGGTGAGTGTGGGTTATTAGTACATGTACATCTTTTCAGTTTTTGATAGCATACTGGGATAATTAAGAAAAACTGAACTTACAGTATTGAACTCTTGAAAGTTTTCATAAGAAATGGTTGTACTTTTTATATCACTACACTTATTTTTACAACAATGGTTACTAGTTACAGGGCATTAGGGCATTTATAGAGTGAATAACCCAACAGTAAATAAACTAATTATAATCCTCTCCATCTTACCGTGTTTCATACAAAGGTTTGATACACTATAACTTTATAAATACTTATCCCACAATTATTGTAATACATTTACAGTTCCATGAGTCCGGCTTTATTGAACGGCTGCAAAAGTTTGGACAAAATATGGCAACATACACTGCAATTAGTTTGGACTGTCAAAGTAGCGTATTAGGTTTTTTAGGGGAAAATATGAGCGTTTACAGCATGGATGAGCAGAAGCGGAGGGCGTTCTAATGCGGGATTCATTTCAATATATCTGCCAATGTTTGGTATTTAGTCTCCACTAGAAGAACTAGTTAACATCTAACCTAATAAAACTAACAAGGACCACAATAATTAGTAAAAACTAGAACCATTTTAAAACCAACCTTTGAATACATTTGAGGGTGTTTGAAACTCAAAACATAGATTCCTGGTGTAATAACACTTTAAATTCAATGTATTTATATATCCATTTCAGTTTCATCCAAACCTGTTGCCATTGTTTACATTATTCTGTCAACTAGGGAGGGCTGCCTGCCTGGCTTCTCAACAAGAAAGACATCGTGCTGCGGTCGTCAGATCCAGGTGAGAATATTTCAGAGAAAAACAGGATGCAGGAAGAAAAATGTTATTGGTTACTGGTTTCAGTACATACAACGTGTGTTGCACACCAGTAAGACAACATCTGCATAGCTTTAATAGCTTACCCATTTTGTATTTCTCAACTTAGTGGTATTAACACTCTAGTTCCAAGCCTCCTTCCAGTTAAATCCAGTACAGTGTAACTAGAAGTATGCTGAAACTGTAAAATAACACATATATCTAAACTCGGACAATCAGCTTTCTCTATAAAATGCTTTAAAATCTGGAACACATTTCCAACTGAAATCAAAATATTATAAAAGGTGATGTGCTGACCAAAATCTATGGAGCTAATTTCCTGCCATAACTCGACAAACAAACTAAACAGGTTTTACAAATGCCTCATGAGTCACTAACAAACACAATGTGGTTTGCAAATACAAAAAACCATCTACTAACTGATGCATTTAGTTTTGCAAAGAAAAAACGTATCTATCAAACAAACACATAACATATTTCTAATAAATCATGTTTCAGAGACAAATTCAGCATAGGTTTTACAAGTACACCATTTTTTTTTACAACTACAACACTTTTTTTTTACAAGTACAAAACTTTTTCTTCTCATGGCGGAATATTACTTCCAAAAGTCACGTGACTTTTGGAAGTAATATTCCGCCGTGGCTGGCACATACTCCACGGCAGCAGGGGGCGCTACTGAGTCCATTGGGAAGGCGGGAGGTTGAGCAGAGCATGGAACAGCCCTTGCCAGCCTGATGACAGCGGTGTTTCTAGTGATCTAGGTCAGTGTTTGAACAAGGTGAATTTAGCGATCACAACGAAAACAGCCAAGACACATATTGAGCCCAGAAAATGAATGTTATTAGGAGGCTGTAAATATAATAGAGTGGCGAAGTCCCTCCCCTTCCGGGGGACCTTATTTCGGAAAAATCATGTATTGAAGTCAATGGAGAGAGAAAGATTATCTTTTTGATCCAGTTTTGTATTTTGAACGAATACACTATGATGTTGTCAATTTAAAAGATAATTTTGCAAAAATGGTCGTAAAGCTGTGAATCGCTCTCACAACAAACCATGCACGCAAAATATACTCCGCCTGATCCCTCCCGAATT